CGGCGTATTTGCATAAAGGAATTCTATGAATGAACAAAAAGCTTTTGTATGAACTGAAAGAATCGCGTTGCTCGTTTCAATATTAAAAATATGGTGAGCGGAGAGACGAGACAAGCAAATTATAAATTTATGAAATGTTATATATAAAAAAATTTAAAAAATATAATGTGCTGAAATAAAAGTAGATGACATATTTGACTGGGATTCACGATGCGTATCATAATCTCACTTAGAAAACGAACGCGGCTTTGATTTAATACTTTTATCAAACCCATCACGCACCGATGCATGCCGGTCTCTTTGGTGTCAGGCTGCGTCCGCAGTTTCTCTTCTTATTAACACGTGAGCGCTTTGATTTATATCCCCCCCGAGCAGTCAGGTGGACGGTGTCCACGCTCGATCGATTTTAACGTCGTTTCGCCGACGACACCGGCGTTCGCCGATCGTCGCACCGGGGGGATAAATCCGCGACGCTCGAAGGGACAGCGGGACCTTTTTTAGTCGCGCTTTACGGCGCGAACCAAAGGGTCGTGAAGGGCTTTCCGTTTCCCCGGAGACCGTTTGATCTGCTACAATGGATAATTCGTCCGCCGACGCGTTTCACGTGACGCGAGGCTCGCGCGCGCGCCCGCTTTGTCACGTGCGCCGCATGAGCGGCTCTTTTTATACATCGGACGATTCACCGTTTTGCGGCGTGAACAGACGTAAGTGAGAATACAAAGGAAAGAATCTCCGGCCCCCGTGCGAATGGAAGAAAGCGACGAAAAACGAGTGAATTTAACCCTACCGTGCGGCGATGTTAAAAACGATCTTTCGCTCGCGCTGTCGCTTCCGTTGAATTAACCAGTCAAAATCTTCGCATTGTGTGAAAATTCTAAAGTTTCCATCTCGTGTCGCTCTTCCCTGCTTGACATTTCTTGAACGCTCAACGGTCATCTCTTTGCGTTCTTGATTGATTTCATAAAAGTCTTTACTTTGCGGCTAATTATGTTTGTTAATTTATAACAGAATAGATATTTAATTGCGTGATAAAATTAACAACTGAAATTAGCAATAATATTGTATATTGTTTACGATTATCGAATTAATATTCTTAATTTTATATATAATATATCCTATATTCTTAATTTAAAATAATACTGTGAAATTTTTTAAAATTACTAAAAAAAAAAGAAAAACTCAATCAATATCAAATATTCTTTGATATATTTTTCATTAAACGACCTCTTATATTCTCTTATATTTTCTTGTTTCCGATTTATTATGCAAACTTATGTTAAATCATTTTGTCGCTAAAAATAACAAAATTGCATTTAGCAGAAATCACATTTTCTGGATCAGAAAGTATATAAAAATAAACATGTTTTCTTGCTAAGAACATTTGTAATATACGATCTATATGCTTCTGTCGAACACACAAAAAGCGTAATTCGGGGATATCTGGGTGTCTAGTTAAGCCACTTCGCCACTACGACAAAGTTACATCGTTTTGCGAAATGTACCTACATACCTACATACCGTATAAGCTTGCAGGACACATTCGGCGATAATGAAGAGCGATCGCGGCGATATATCAACCGCGATTACGGTCTTATATCCGACGCGCGAAAACGGATGAGACAAGGTGATCCACTTATTTCGCGAGTAGGCGCGAGCTTGAGTGAAATCACATGTCACGTTGTCTCTTAATATTAAATTTCTTTTTGTCCGATTACCTCGCTTAAGTTATTATACATTTACTATAGAGAAATAGAAAGTTATGTGACTCGCGTATTAAGTAATTGAGGACAACGTTTGAATTCATAATAAAAAAGACAATAGTCATGTAATATACAATAAACACATGCGAATAAATTATGCAGAGATCATGGATTATTCAACGTCCACAATAGATAGATTATGTATACTGGGAAACATATCAGTAATGCATAAGAGACGTAACTATTAAATATAATTACTTTAGCATAAAGTAACAAGTGCTGTTTTATGCAACAAAATAAATATAAAATACCGTCAATATTATAAAATGTAACAATGCATCGTAATCTGAGACTTTTATATCATTCATCGCAAGGACGACAGTGCAACTAAACTGCAATTAAACTTTCGCAATTTACGAAGTTTGACGCATTAATATTATCTAATTAATTTTTTATATCATAAAATGCTTCCCAGAATACATAATGTCAAACATTTTGTGATTGCACTATACAATTATATATTATTTATACGAAGATTAATAATGAATGTCTTTAAAACAAGAATTCTACAGATGGATTTTGAATGTAATACAATATATTATGAAGAGATTAATATCGTGCAAAACACAACGGAAAATATATTTTTATGCGGAATTTAGAACTCGCGAAATAACCTTTTTATAACCGCATGCTTATGCGCACAAGTTGTATCTGCAGCTGCAATTTAATAATAATACGATAAGCAGTTTTGCCGTTAGCAAAAACATTTTGTCACATGTCAAAGTGTTCATCCTGCTTAACGCTCTCTTTCTTTAGAATTATATATATATATATATATTTTACCCTCTTTATATTTTTATTATATTTTTCTTCCTCGATATCTCACCGCGCGTTTTATCTCAAAGATGAATTTTTACAGCGTGAAGAATGCAGCGAAATAATAAAGCTTGAATGAAGAATAAAAACCGTATACACTACAACGTTTGAAATTTAATTTGCGGTCAAACGAGATGTGAAATATAATAGTTGCGTCGATGAGTTGACAAGGCGCGCAATTTCCCTTTACATAAGCACATGTTATCGTCTTCTTTCAGTTAATTGTCCGATCTGCGTTATCTTGTCATTACGTTTACAAGGTTGTTTCGAATTGGTTAAGAGCAGTTTTTAATTGAATCGTCAAACAAACGCGAAATAACTCTCGCGATGTCTTAAATTCCGCGATATATATACAAAACACACATATATACACGCGTGCGAGGATTATCGATTGACGAAGATCGCCCCGCACGACGGCCAAAGCGGTCACCATTACCGGGATTGCGGGCGTCGCATTAGGTAAGACCCTCAGCCTGTACACATTCTCATTCGGATAATGCACCGCTAAGTGGATGCCCCGTATGTGTTGCGACTCGTGGTCTATCAATCTTGATCTTGGCTTGTACGAGAGAGGCCGTACCGGCAAACGCACACTATCGAAGAGGATCGATATGCTCCTTCTCTCTCTCTCTGTCTCTGTCTTTCTCTTTCTACGTGTATATATGTAAGTGTGTATATACTCGTGGATTCTATATGTGTGTATAGAAGGATGCACTGAGATACGCATACGTTTGGTTTGAACGTATACTCTGACAGGACAGGTACGTACCGCGGTGCGTATGCATATACATATATCAGTAGATATGTACATAGAACGGTGTAACGCAGGGTCAAGTCATACTGTGATGGCTCATAAGATCAGGTATACGGAATGTATGGGGTCAATGGATACACTTGCATCTACAGCCTGGCGCCCAGTCCCGTGAGACGCTCACCCTTATCATGCTCATTACAATTACATACTAATGCACGTAATCACATATCTCGGC